AATTTGCTGATGGGCACAGAGATTGTCAATATCTCTATAATTGCTAGAAGCTCCAATGGCCAGGATTCTGGTCTCATGTTGACTTTCTACTATTTTCCTAAGACCTGGCTAACCACCAGATCACCTTCTGACTCTAGACTCTCATGTTACCTAGTTCAGTCCTTACCTAGGTAATATGAGAGCTAAGGACTCATGACAGGTAAGGACTCCTTGTCATGTTCCCTAGGCTTAAGATCCAACATGGGTTCCCTGCTGGGTCAGAAATCTTGCCTTAACCTCCCTTTTAATTCCTCAAGGTCAATGTGCTTAATCCTATTGGAACCAATGTCCCTTTTAATGACATCTTTCTGTTTCGAGACAATTGTGGAGTCACACATGACTGTAAACACATAACACAGGAACATCTTCAGCAGGCAGGGCTACACAAAAAGTTCTTAGACTTGCTAAAAAACCAAAAGAAAATAAAATTTTCTTTCCATAAAAAGAAAATATGTGCGACCTCACAAAATTTGCTCTGCAAAATATCCTGTTAAGAGTTTGAAAAGATGAACCATGGATTGGGGATAAGTATCTGAAAACCACATATCTAAACAAATAACTAATATCAAGAATATATCAAGGACTCTCAAAACTCATTAGTAAAAACAAACAAAAAGCAACCCAATTAGAAAATAAACACGTGACAGATATTTTACTGACAGATGTTAAATATCATTAACATTTAGAGAGTTGCAAATTAAAATCACAATGAACCATCAATATACTCTTACCAGAATGGCAAAAAAAAAAAAAAAATTGGTGACCACTATTTCTAGACAATCCTGGTTAGAATGTGGACAAGCTAGATCACTCTTACATTGTTGATAGAAATGTGGAATGGTGCAGGCATTCTGGAAAAGTTTGGTATCCTCTTTAAAAACTTACACTTCTAGCGCCCAAAGGATGTAGCAATTGTACCCTAGGACATTTATCTCAGACTATGAGAACTTGTGTGAGGTTTTATGTTAATCCCACTGGGAGTTGGGCTGAGTTTACTCTTTATTGCAGCTGTAGGTGTCAGAAGCTTCAGCTTCCTCTGACATCCTTGTTTTTGTCTTCCCTGGTATTTTTGGGTTCCCTGAAAACAACTCCTTTTTATTTATGTTTTATTTAATTTTTTATTTTATACTGCAATATAGCTGATTGGAGGAGGGCATGGCAACCCACTCCAGTAAGAGACTCCCTGGTAGCTCAGTGGTAAAGAATCTGCCTGCAATGTCAGAGACCCGGGTTGGATCCCTGAGTCAGGAAGATCCCCTGGAGTAGGGCATAGTAACCCACTCCGGTATTCTTGCCTGGAGAATCCCATGGACAGAGGAGCCTGACTGGCTACGGTCCATAGGGTTGCAAAGAGTCAGACATGACTGAAGCAACTTAGCACTCATAGCTGATTAACAATGCTGTGATAGTTTCAAGTGAACAGCGAAGGGATTCAGCCAGACCTCTTTGCGACCCTGTGGACTGTAGCCCTCCAGGCTCCTCTATCCATGGGATATTCCAGGCAAGAATACTGGAATGAGTTGCCATGTCCTCTTCCAAGGGATCTTCCTAACCCAGGAATTGAACCCATGTCTCTTGCTTTGGTAGGCAGATTCTTTACCACTGAGCCACATGGGAAGCCCATAGATGTATCCGTTCTTCCCCATCTCCCCTCCCATCCAAGCTGCCACATGATGTCGAGCAGAATCCCCTGTTCTATACAGGTCCTTTTTTGTTATCCATTTTAAATGGAGCAGTGTGTGCATGTCCATCACAAACTTCCCCTGGCAACCGTAAGTTCATTCTCTAAGTCTGTGAGTCTGTTTCTCTTTTGTACATAAGTTCATTTGTATCATGTCTTTTTAGATTCTGCATATAAGGGATGTCATATGATGTTTCTACTTCCCTGTCTGACTCACTCCACTCACACAAGTCCTTTTTAAATAGTTCGTATATGCAGCTTTTGCATCTGTGACCTGTTGTTCCTACACCGGAGCCCCGTGGATATGGAGAAGGGAAGCAGTTTATAATCTTACAATTAAAGCCCAGTCCTCTCCTGCCCCGTGTCTCTGCAGGGCCACCTTCACAAGTATTTCTCAGCCTATCCCCTCCCTGCCACCACTGAGGTGAGACAGGAAGGCTGGTGGGGCGAGGGTTGGGGGCAAGCCCCCTTCTTCAGGATGGGTCGTGGCTCTAGTGATGCTCTTCCCAGGGAGTGAGCTCTTGTAGAGAATTCTCTGGATATATTTCACACGATTACTCTTCCTTTCTTCCTGCCAGAGTCAGTGGGGGTGTGTTTTTGGTTTTTCCACTGGGATAACTTGGTGGGTTTCCTGGAGTTAAAACCCAGGAGGAGGGGGCTGGATCTTGGCCTGGGGCATTCAGGACTTTCCACCTCTCCTGCTCATCAGACTCTCGCAGTTTGTCAGACCTTGAATTTAGGCTGTCTTTTCCCTGAGGCTCATCAAGAAAGATCACTAGGCCTAAGCTGTTGACTGGAGAAGGAAATGGCAACCCGCTCCAGTATTCTTGCCTACAGAATCCCGTGGACAGAGGAGCCTGGTGGGCTGCTGTCCATGGGGTCGCACAGAGTCAGACGCGACTAAAGCGACTTAGCATGTATGCAAGCTGTTGACGGTCAGGCAGAGCCCATGGATTACACCCATGGATGCTCCATTTTGTCTGCTGTGCTGCAGTCCCAGGCTCTTCCTACCCGCCCACCTCGCCTCCACAGAGGTCAGGCCCAAAGCAGGGTCGCAGACTCTCCCTGCCCAGTCCTGCACACCCTCCACCACCCCCCCCCCACATTTAGCCTCTGCAGGCACATGCTGCGTCAGCATTTTTGTCTCCTGATCACTTTCACCTGCTCCTTGGAAATGCCCGTTGTCCTCATCCCACAGGTTTTCTGTCCCTGAAATGTGCTGAGCTCTCTCCCGCCTTCACACCATTCTTCTCTTTCACATTATGTGCTTATCGATCTCCGTATGTTTGTTTCAGAGCGATCCTGGGAATGACAGACTGCGTCCCCATTTGCCTCAGCTATAATGTCAACAAGAAGCCCCAGGCTGCAACTTACCTGGAGCAATTTAATGCCAGTTGAACTGAAACAGAACTGCAAGTCCTTTCATCTGAATCAAAGAATATCTTAGAGATCATCTAGATCCAATTCTTGTTTCAGATGGGGAAACAAGTGGAGGCACAAACAACTCCTCATTGAGGATCTTTTCCTTACAGTTTTTCACCCCCTCCCCATCCTGAGCACTGTCTCCAGGCCACTAGAGTTGTCCCTAGCACCTGCCTCCATGCTGCGTGAGTGCTCACCAGTAAATGCTGCTTTTTAAAATTCTTTTGGCCGTGGTGCACTGCATGTGAGATCTTAGTTCCTGGACCAGGGATCAGACCTGCATCTCCTGCATTGAAAGAATAGAGTTTTAATGACTAGACCACCAAAGAAAGTCCCAATAAATGCTATTTTTGATAAGCATGAGCAGTCTACAGCATTGCTCTGTCGTAAACAGAGCTGCTCCTCTCCTGCCCTGTGGTGACCCCTGCAGACTCAATTCTGTGTCTCTCCAGCGACCAAGGGACCATGAGGATCCTTGTCTGCTCTTAACCACTGTTCTTCTGCTCTCCCAAGGTTCTCCAAGTAAAAAAGGACTCTCAGCTAGAAACCCAGGGAACTGCAGAGGACAGGGGGTGAAGAAAAAGCTTGACTAAGAAAAAACATCCTGCAGGGGCCTCAACCTTCTTCCATCAATCTTTAATCTCAGCCCTGATTGAGACCAGGAGTAATCTGCAGTGAAGGACTGGGCTGGTGTACCCCTCCCGGCAGCGAGCTCCATGACTCAGAAACCCTGGGACTTCAGATGTCACTGGGGGATTCACTAACCGTCCTGACTGCATTGCAGGACAGTTGCAGTTATTCACTTGGGATTTTGTGGAAAGAGATGCCTGCCCCTCCCCTTCCCATCGATGGCCCCCATCTGCTCCTGAAAACCTTTGATCTGCACAGAAAGGGACCCCACTCAGACTCCTAAAATTTTCATGTCGAATCTGAGGGTTAGGATGGAGAGAAGTGCTGTGATTTCGGTGGGCAGAGCAGAGACGCAAACAGCAGCTGCTGCTGGAGTCTGCTGAGGGGGTGTCTAAGTTGCACTGAGACGCCGGCAACCTCCTGACCCCTGTGCTAATCTGTGTACCCAGAGGCAAACTGTTAGCTTCGGCAGGGACTCTAACTCCCACCTCCTAAAGGCTGAGCCAAACACTCCATAGCACAATGAGGGCAAGTCAGGCCCTCCGAGTCTCAAGTCCAGCTGTGCTGGGATGACACCGATTGACCAGAGAAACTCCTTGATCCTCTCCAAGCCACTTGGTGGATTTCCAAAGCTCCAAAGGGTACCCAACCTTGCCCCCATCTAGAGTGAGTTCCTGCATTAATTCACATGGGTTATTTCTTTATCCTGGAGGATTCATGTTTAGCTTAACTCTTCCTTCCTTGTTCTTTCTTTCTGGGCTGTTTCCCACCGATATCTCTTTGAAGTCCTGCTGTCAGCATATTCTAGGCCTGTCAAAGTATGATGGTAATTAATTTATCAAAAACCAGCTTCCCTTTGATCTGTGATCACAAGAAGAAGAACCGGTTACGACAGAAACCTGGGCCTGGGGTCCCTCCAGGACCAGGGGATGTTCACGTCGAGCTGGTCATCATTGCCTGCATTTGGCTACTGAGGGCTGGGGCAGGGTGACCACTAGAGTCTGAGCCTGAGAAAGGCCCCAGGACGCGGGCGATGTTGGGGGAGAGTGGGGGAGTGGAGTCCAGGCTGCCATGACCACCTGTCCACATCTCTGCTGCTCCTCCTCTCAGTAACTCTGGCTCTTACATACGTGCAGCCCCTTGAAATGCCCATGAAGCAGGAAAGTGGGTACATAGGAGGATGATCAGTTATATAAGAAAGACCTAGTATCACTTGGTCTACCTGGAAATGAATTCATTGGGTTCCTGCCAAAGGCAGGAGGCACCTGGCTGCAAAGCTGCCTTAAGCAAAGTTCTGGAGGGAGGCTCTTTCAATCCACCATCCACCTCCCCACCGGTGCTTCCAGGGCTCTCCTGGCTCCACTGTGAGATGCGACCAGCTTGTCATGTGAGAGCTGACTGTTCAGCCTCAGAGCACACACCAAGTGAGGAAACCGCCTCTCTGGCTCTCGGTCAAGGGTCACAGGATCAAGATTCCACCTCCTTCTCCCCAATCCTATCTCCTCTACTCAGTCCAGTCCAGTCTCTCCAGGCATGTGCCCAGCAGGTCACTGTGAAGCACACGTGTGTACCTGTCCTGGGTGTGCAATCGTGAGCATGAACGCAACATCCTCCTCCCACTCAGGGAACCTGGAATTCAACTGAGAAGACCAAATTACTTAAACACACACACAAACACACACACACACTACAATTTGGGATACAGGTTGGAGAAGGATATGGCTACCCACTCCAGTATTCTTGCCTGGAGAATTCCATGGACAGAGAAGCCTGGTGGGCTAGAGTTCATGAGGTCACAAAGAGTAGGACACAACTGCATGACTAACACTTATGAAAGAATTTTTTAAAAATTACATCAGGAAGACAATAGTTCTGGGGCATTGAGCCACATGAGGAGGAGCAGGCAGAGTTCCCTGCCATTCACACTGAGGTGGAGAGCAGAAGGTTCAGAGAGGTTATTCGTGGCAAAAGGTGGAAAGTGTTCCAGGCAGAGGGAAGGCTGTGGGTCGGGGCGGGGGGCCCTGAAACAGACAGGGGCTGGTGTGCAGGAGCCCGCAGAGTTCAGGGGTCTCTGGATATGGGGGAGCGAGGGCCGCTGGGGAACAGCTGGAGTCTGAAGAGAAGGCCCAGGCTCTAAGCAGCCAGCTCTGCGGGCCAAGCTAACAGGCTTGACTGGATTTAATTTAAAAAATTAATAGCAAACTTTTGCAGGGATTTTAAAAAGAAGTGTGACATGAACCAATTCACTTAAAAATAAATAAATAAATAAAGCCATGCTGGAAGCAAATCAGATGGTGAAGTGGATCAGCGAGGAAGGTGGAGGGGGTGGGGTTGCCGGGGAGGCCGCCATCTTGGGTCTGTGTCACCGCCGCTCCCCGGCGTCCTCCAGTCAGCTTCCCTGTCCGCGCCAAAGCTGTTGCCAGAGCCTTGGCTCTTGGTCCTCGGGTACAGTTAATCACACTGCCTTATTCTGTTATTTAGTGGGAAGTGATCTTGACGCAGGCAGGATATGCGGCTACGGGACTGCTCGCTGCCGGAGGAACTGTAAGAAACAAGAGTCCAAAGTTGGAAAATGCCCCAACACCTATCCATGCTGTTTGAAAAAGTGGAATGGCAACTCACTGAATCCTTCGAAGGACAGAAAGCCGAAGGGAGCCTGGCTCCTAGAAATGGCCGCCAGCCAGACCTCTGAGCCTGCCTTCTCCGGGCCGTCCCGCTGGGCCGTCCCCAGCGGAACAGGTCTGGTTGACTGAGGGCCGGCCGAGGGCGCTCACGCGTGCAGAGCCGAGGCAGGAGCAGTGAGCGCGGGGCCTCTGCCGACGACGGCAGGCAGCAGTACATGAACGCCTCAGTACTTCAAAAGATGAGCCAGAAGCAGGTCCAGTCCGCCACAAGCCTACGTGAACACCATTTTATTCTTTTGCCTGAATCATACTGATTGATCTTGTAACGTTGGGTTTCTTTTCTGATCAGCAGTCCTGCTCAATAGTTATACGTCTTTTATTAATTAAAATGGAATAAATCAATACCGAGTGCAATTTGTCTGGCATACCCTGCAATTCAAAACACAGACCTCCATGGAGACAAACCAGAGATGCTCTGCAAGAAAGGTTGACCCTAGTGGATGTGTGTGGAGGTTCCATTGGGCAAATGGCAGCAGAGAGTGATTCTGCCCCGGGCTGGGTGGACGCTCCCGGCCGCCTTAGCCTGAAAAGTGAGAGGTGTGATAAAACAGTGGTCCTGGGTTTCCTGCCCAAACTGCACTTCAGTGAGTAGTCCAGCTAATAAATGAAGGAGGAGTGATAGAGAATATCACTGTTTTGCAAACGCCCAGGGAAAGAGTGAGCTGCTAACGAATGTCAACAGCCACTTAAGTGAGAACAACAATCCTGCATTTGGTGTCTCCTAATAGAGAAACTCAATGCCACCTGTGAGCTGTGAGGCTGATTGTCCCCTTTCTCCCCAAAATGAAAAATGACCCTTCCTGTTAGTGTCACCCAGCGTTAACACGGGCTCAGTGTTGTTTTTTCCTGATAAGCTTCCCTTCCTGGGTTGTTTCCAAAAATACTCACCATGTTCTATCACATCATTGGAAAAAACTTTGAAATATATAACTCAGGGAAAAGAACTTTTTTTTTTTAAAAAAGGGGGCTCTTACCATACCTGGAAAATTCAGTGCTAACTCCTTAACACAGTTTAAGAGCCAACCAGGGTTCAAATAACGCTGGTCTGCTTCAGTCAGAGCTGTTTTCTTATAGGCAAAGCAAACGTGTAGAAATAAGTTGCCCATATACAGAAAAACTTGCATCATTTTGAAGATACCTTCTGAGGACAAGACAGCAGTACTGTGACAGCTTTATTTATGTCATTTTAACGAACAGCAGTGCTTAGCCATCAGCACTTAAAACCGGTGATTTTCCCTTAATGCTGTTTTTCTTGCCTCTCTCTTCCTCCTCCTCTCTTCCCCTGACATATCTTATTCACCAAACCTACCCAAAGCATTCAGGCATACTATTTACTTCCTGAGAAAAATGGCTCAATATTTGTTCCGCTAGCAGTGGGAAAACAATGCATCTACCTGTGTGCTTTTGTGAGTAGGAAGTTACTGCGGCTGCAGCCCCTCCCAGCCGGCAACCCCCAGCCCGGCTATAAACGAAGCCCTCCCTGCCGCCCACACGCCCTCAGCCAGCCCTGGATGTCCCAGCTGCAGCCCCCTTGGTGACATGAAGCAATTCCTTGCTCCATCCACTCTTCTCCTTGTGGTTCTGCTCTTTCCAGGTAAATCAGAAACGGGACCTGGGCCTGAGGGCTGGGGTCTCTCTGAGACGGTCATTTCCAGGGTAGGGGTCCCCTGGGCCTTGAGCAACCCAGCTCTGGGAGCCCATCTCCTGGCGGGTTGCTCAGCAGGTATCTCTGCCTGAGTTTGTGAACAACACTTTTTCTTTTTTTTTTTTTTTTTTGGTGCGCCCTGAAGCTTGTGGGATCTTAGTTCTCAGACCAGGGATCAAACCCATATCCCGGGCGCTGGAAGGTGGAGTCTTAACCACTGGACCTCCAGGGGAGTCCTGTCAATGACACTCTGAAGGTGCTGACTGTGCTTTTTCATCCTTTTAGCACCTCCTTCCCTTACAGAGAAGGACAGTGAGTGTCAGGAAGGACCTTGACATTCAGGGGGTCTCCATGACTACCTTGGTGACAGCCTGGCGGCTGCTCAGCTTGACTTCCATGGAGACTCAGGCTCCGCCACTTCCCATTTCAGACACCGCTCATCTCTGTCTCTGCCTCTCACGCACACAGGTCACATTTGCCCCTCTTCCGGCCCACTCCACCCATCCTCCCCTTTCTGAATCTGCAGCTTTATTGAGGTGTGGTCCTCACACAGGGCACTGCACCTGCTTACCGTGCACAATGTGATGAGTTTGGATGTGTGCAAACACCCGTGGCCCTGTCCCCATGGCCAAGGGGACAGACGCCTCCATGCCTCCCAGAGCTTCTGTGTCGCTCACTGTGCCATCATTTTCCTGTGGTTACAACACTTAACACGAGATCTTCCTACCCAGCAAATTTGGAAGCACACAGGCTGGACCATCGGCCTGGGACACGTCTGTCCTGCGTGACCACTGATGGATGATCCCCCGCCCCTCTCACTTCCACTCTTCGCTCGTCTCTTGGAGCATAAGCCCCTCACTTTCCTGGGTCTGTGAACATTTTCTGCTGTGTGTTTACCCTGAAACAGGGCTTTCTGGAGTCACACATGCTAACCACCAGGACCCCGAGGGTCCCAGGAAGCAAGAAGAATCCCCGGGACAGGGAACAAACAGGTCTCACCCACTTCACTACCAAGTAAAGCGCTACCTCGGGCCTCGCCAGCCCCCCTTCCCGGGTAAGTGACGGAGCCCGGGATGGGTCGGTTCATGGGCAGGACCTTCAGAGGAAGAATGGATGGGAGGTGACTGTGGGGGTGGCTGGGCTGAGCGGTGGAGTGTCCTGAGACAATACGTGCATGACTGAGTCTGCTCTGCCTGTCGGGAAGGTTAGGGAGGGGTATGACAGCCCCCCAGGGCAGGACCCCCGAAGGTCTTATGAAACGTGGGAGCATCAAGCAAAGAGAGTGGAAGGAGAATGCGAAACAGCAGGTTTGGAGACTGACTCTGATGCTCTCAGAGTGGTCCACAGACTGTGATCTGCCTGCTGGAGGTTCCAGACCACTTGACTTCTGTGTCCTCACTGTTCTCTCCCTATGTCTCCAAGGTCATGTGCAAACTTGTGGAGAATGTAAACCTGAGCAGAGAATTAGAGATCAACTGCCATGTTCACTGTGTAAAGCCCAACACACAGAGGAGGACTTAGCATGTTACAGGTTCTCAGTGTTGATGTCTTGAGTCAATATTCAGGTGAATTGGTTTTGCTTCATGAAAACAGTGCTCAGTGGACAAAATATTGTTATAAACTTGCCTTTATTGTACAGGAGATTCATAACACTGGATCATTTTGCCTTATGACTTACAGAGGCCATCCAGAAGACTAGGACGTTTTCACGAACAATAATGATATTTTTTATTTTCTGCTCACTTAATGTGGGTATGTTCCAACTGCTTCCCATAATTTCATTTAATCTTCACAATAGGCTTAGGAGATAAGACCTATTATTGTCCCCACTTTGCAGATAAGTAAACTGAGAAAAACAAGTGGACTGTCCCCAGGGGATGACAGAGCTGTTAGCAGTTGGGGTCTCCAAATACTCTGCCGTCTTTCCTCTGGTTGCTCCGACTGATTGGTTAGAAGATTCCAGGGCCAGAGGCTTCTAGGACCAAAGTATGTCCCACCTGTTTTAATTAATAAGATAATTATTTGTGTATAATAAGCACCTGCGATGTGCTGGGTGCTTTGCTAGAACTCACACACAGTTAGAAGATAGGCTTATCACCTCCTTTTGAAGGTTAGGTAACTCTCAGCTCCTTGAAGAGTTGCTTTCTTAAAGCACGGCCACCTAAGCAGCAGAAAAGTCGTGTGGATTCAGAATTGTCTTCCTTCATAACCTGCAATATTATCTTCTCTTGTTTCCATTCAGAGCACTAGTTTTCTGAATGTTTTAGAATTCATTTTGGTGACTAGAGATGCAGATTGAATAGGGGTCTGGACTGTGTGTGGGTGCAGTGAGAATGAGCTCCTGTGTTGGGTGACAGGTGTGTGTCGCTTCTGTCTCCCGCTGGAAGGACCTGGACAGGACAACCAGACCATACAAATGTCTACTCGAGAATAACCCGAAAGCTCGCGACCTATGTCATCCTGAGACTGCAGCACGCGGAGGGATACAGTAGCTCCCCTAAGACAGGATTATTTTGAGTAGATCTGAACACTAGACAAAGCCACAGAGTGAATATCGTAGAGAGTATTGGATCCCCCAAAGAAAGGGATCGCTAACAATGACTATTGTGCAGCTTTGGCACAGGGCACCCTAAACATGACATTCTCAGCAGCGTTGAGACGATTCTGGAGTCATCTGCCATCAAAGCCATAATACAAACAATCTTTGAATTGTGTTGGGGTTTAACTCAATGAATAACATATTTGAGGAAATAACTCTCTCTCTTGGAAGAAGCAGAGCTATATACCTGGAGTTGATTTTACAGTTTTGAACTCGAAACTGTGAACCTTATGGGGTATTGAAAACAATCAAAGACAGAGGAGTAGACAATAGCAATGCCTCTGGGATTTCCAGAGGAAGCAGGTAGAGAAGTCAGTGGAACTGTTGTTCATTAGGATAAAGTTTCAGTGATGCTAGAGGTGTGCTGTGCGTCATAAAGGCTATAGCTAATGGTGCAGGCTGTGCATTTAAATAGTTGTTAAGAGAGTAGATCTTATGTTCTCACCACAAGAGAAACAAAAAGCAAAAACAAAGAGACACAGGGAAATTTTTGGAGGCGATGAATATGTTTATGACTTCGATTATGGTGATAGTATCAGGGTTTCTGTCTTTCTTTTTTTTTTTTGCTGGGTGGGGGCTGGCTGTGTTGCACGGCTTGCAGGATCTTAATTCCCCAACCTGGGATCAAACCCAGGGCCTTGGCAATGAAAATACTGAATCCTAACCACTGGACTACCAGGGAATTCCCTACTTTCAGGTTTTTATAGGTTAAAAACAAAAGACTGTTCTGAAAATGAACTGATAAGAAAATAATTTGATTAGATCAATTGATTCATTGATCTAATCAAATAATTGTAAGACTTATTCATGACAGAAATTAGGACA